TACTTGGCTAGAGGTGGATGGTTGTTTGATGGTTGATCCACCGTCATTTGTCATCTTCAACCAAAAATCAACCATTAATCAGACTTCGGCATTTCAGTGATCAGATTTCAACCACAAAACAACGTTGATTCAATGTCACAGTTTCAACGGTTTGATTGGATGGTTGTTTGATGGTTGATCCACCATCATTTGCCGACTTCAACCAAAAATCAGCGATTCTAACTATTTTTCAACGTTGATTTAACATCGTGTGCTATCTGGGGAATTACCACTGTCACTAGACACTACATTTTTAACGTAGAAAGTGTTGCTGGACGATTGTTCCTGTTTTTTATGTGTATCGATGACTGTGACCTAGCTCATTCCTGACATTCCACACCATGAGGGTCCTTGAGAGACTCTTGTTGGCCTGAGTGGCAAACAAGTATTTTGTAGGATCTATTGGAGTTAGTTAATCACTGTGGGATTGAAGACACCATCATACACCTGCTTCATCAAGTTCAGAAACTATCAGAAACTTTAGAAGGGAAAACTTGGATAGTTTGTGTTGTAATTTAACTGAATTTTTAAGTACATTTAAAAAATATATTTTTAAGTATATTTAAATATACACTTACAAATTCAGGATAGTTTGTGTTGCAATTTAGCTGATTTTTTAAGTAGGCCCAATATTTACAGTTACTTTTAAAATATGTACTGCTTCATGTTGTTTTATTAAAGTTCTTGTTTTATTTGTATTTCGTGCTAGCCTTTAAATATATATTTTTTATTTCTAGAAAAGATACAAGTCATGTTTGGAGGGCACAGGAAAATGGTCGTTTTTGCCCTTGGTTTAAATTTTGCATGAAGAAGCTTACGATGCTGACTGATATGAAGAGTTTCACCTTCAAGTTAAAATAATACAATTTGAATTCAGATTGCTCTGGTGTTTAATTTAACATTATAGATGGATCGGCTAATATTTAAAAAAAAAAAAAAACACAGACTAAGCTAAACAAGATTAGAACAATAAACTACAAAGTAGATAAAATGAATGTTTCCGTTTTTTGGAAACCCATCAGTGGTTATAGTTTGAAAGGTGATACCCGGATGTTGTATGCGTTAACTTCACACTACCTTCTGACATCATTCGAGCTGTACAGTGAAAATATTCAGGTGAGTGCTTTTAGGACTGTTTATTGGAGTGTTTGGTATTGTGGGATGCAGACTTTACGCTACCTGAACGCAATGGACGAAGTTCTACAAAGAGGTCTACAGCGCAGTGATTGTTTTCATTTGTTCAACATTTTGAAGTAAGTTCGCCAACAAGACTAGCGTCAGTTAGCTTTAAGCTAACTATTAGCTCGCTAGCAGTAGCTACGTAACACCGTGTAACGTAGATGTTTTTACGGTTTGATCTCGACAGCTGTACTTTTTGCTGTTCCGAATAATATTTTTAGAAGTTTCTGGGAAAGAGACACTTTGTGTTTCAGTGAGATTCCGTTCACACGGAGCAGAATGAAGCCATGTTGCTAAAACGAACCGGAACAGAGTGGGAACACATGCGTTCCGCTCAAGTCTGCCCTCAGAGGGTTCCAGAAAACTTGTTTATCTGGAAAATCACGTTTGCCACTCGATCTGGGGTTTCTCGTCACCGTGTCATATACAAAGCGAAACGATGTACCGTTTCAAATTTAGCTTAGGCTTAAATATTTTTATATAGTAAATACCAGCATTTTTTTCAACTTTTTAAAGTAACTTGAGGTGTATTTGTTTTATTGTATATTCAAACAATTATTTTCCGGTCTTTTTGGTTTCGTTTCCACACTAAAGGATCCAGTGAGGCTGGTGGTGATGTTGGGGTCAAGCTAAACACCTGCTAATTCTAACAACTCTGAGTGAACGCAGTCAACAACGATGAGTTGCTAGAGGTTTCCTCTGGCGTCCAAAAAGCTACAGCCGAATAAAAGTTTCTTGGAACCAGAATTCTGACCCTTCCAGTAGTGTACTGTTTTATGTTCCCAAAGATGCATCCAGGAACATTTATAGAATAGTGAACTTGCCCACAATGTATTCTTTTTTATTCAACAGATGTTACCATTGTCTTTTTACACATTTCTATTTTTTTTTCTTTGTTGAGACTTGATCAACATAGCTTGGGTCTGAAGCTGTGTTGCTACAGACACACTTAGACATTGGATCATCTTCTAAGTGTTAATTTAACATAGTCGATCAACCATTTAAGATCTTTGACTGGAGGAAGTTTTTATTTGAACTTTACAGGGGCATGTTTTGATCCAAAACTCAAGCATGGTCCCTGCCATGAAGATCCAGCTTGGCCCAGTATCTGACAGCTAGTTGTATTCCCACACAGTCAGGGCAAATTCTCTCTTCTTTAATTTTGTAAATTCACCTGGAGGACATAAATGGGTTTTAGGGTCACACAGTCTGGCAAAACTTTTACTATACAGCTTAATATAGTGAGTCTAAATTCTAACCATTCTTTTGTTTAGATTTCTAGGGTTGGATCAAAACCGATGGAGACGCCAGGAATTTGTGAGATTGATCTGCCAAACAGAAGAATAGTGAGCGGCAGTGAATCCCCAACTGATCTGGATAGTCCATGTCAGGTACATGACAATGTGATCATTCTTATGTGCTGGCTATTCTTGGGTTTAATCTGCTAGATTATTTTGCACCTTTTAAATTAATATTTACAAACGGTTTTCGAAGCTCCCTGACTTCATTTTCTACAGATATATTGATCACAAAAATGAAAAAAATGCTCAGAGTTTTAGGTAAAAATATAATTTGTGATGGTAGGATCTGTCAGAAAGTAAATTTTATAACTGATCAAGATTTTCAGTTTCCAGTTAGGTTGTTGTCAGCATGTCCTGTTATGGGCTACATGTACTACAAGATCAGCTTTGTTTTAAGATGAGGCTGAGTTGTTGGTTAGAGAGTAGACAGGAGAGCTACTTACACCAAGTTATGGTTAGGACAGTGGCTTCCAAAATGTTTTCTGCTGGGTCCTCCTTTGGTTAATAAGAACATTTTTGTGAGAGCTGAGTAACATGTAGCATCAGATACCAATATGTGTAAATGAGAGGTTGCATTAGAACAGGTGTGCCCAACCGGTCGATCTCAGGAAGGTTTTAAGTCGATCTGGCCTGTAGGGTCTTCAGCAGAGAAACTGAAGACCACCAGCTGAGATGAGCTCATTTCTCTGGTTTTGAAAAATCAAAAAATATACACTAAGGTCCAAAAAGTTTAAACCTTTATTAAAGACAAAAAACCTCAACAAAACATGTTCTAATTATTGAATCAATAAAATAATCATAATAATCACAGTAATTATTACTTTATTAAGGTGCTGTTTGGTTAACAAAAATCAAAGGCGACCCACAGATGAACTCACTGACAGATCACTATCAGTGTTGAAGTTAGCTAATCAACCACTGCTGTGTTCAAGTGACAACTTAACAAAAAATAACATCAAGCCTGAAAACATAATATCTTAGGGGACTGATTATTCTGCTAACATCTGTCAGACGTCCTAAGTGGACTGGGTCCTTTGAAGGATGCAGACCGTGAATTTAGACATGGCTACTGTGTCCCTCACTATGGGAATCACTGTGCTGGGGAAACAAAGTTAAAGTTTACTCCTGCAGCATAACTTTTGACATACAACTAAAGATTTAAGCCCTTACCTTTTCTGGAGTTTTTAATGAAATCTCCAGCTCAGTGTTGTTTAATGGGATATTAGAACTGATGTGTTGTCATAATGGTGTGTGTGTTTATAGGAGGAAGTCGCAGGGTTTAATTTAGGTCTGTGCGGGCCTGAGGAAGAGAGAGGGGAAACCCCGGGTAGAGAGGACAGTCCCAGTGACCTGGGGGAGGCAGAGCTTGATCCTGGTGGAGACTCCAAGGCTGGAGACGACAAGGCTTTTGGTAGGAAAACTGCTGCTTGCGCATCTCCATTTCCTTTATCAGTTTCCTCTCAACAATGCTGAGTTTTCATAATGTTATGGAGGTTTTTTTTTTTTTAAGTTAAAATATGGTTTGTTTATTTTATTTTGATAGAACAAAATGTGAGCAAAGGTTGAATGTTTGATTACACTCAGGACACTTGGCCTGCCTTTGTTTATATGTGATGTGTAGGTGGAGTCAGTATATTTTTTGGTGGTGGGGGTCAAAGATCAATCCAGTCCAGATTAGTCAATGCTCAAAACTGCAGGAGGTGCATGGATCAAACTGTTAAACACTAAAACAGCAACATTTGGATTAGAGATTCTGCTGCTCAGTGGAAAAATCCAAATGTCATTCACTTAACCTATTAGTATGTAAACGGTAAGGATGCTCCGATCAGATTTTTTCCTGATCACTGATTTTGATTTAGGGTATAAATGGAATCATAAAATCATTTAATTTAGAGAAAAACATACAAAAAAATGCAGGCACAATGCATCAAGTATTCAATCAGAAGAGCAACAGAAAAACATGCTATCAGTAATACAGTATTTAACAGCAAGTCCCCTTGTGTGTTATAAGCCTGACGGGCCGCCAGTCTTTACTTGCTCTCCAGCCAGGCTAAGCATTGCTTGTTTTTTTTTAAGCATTAGCTAACTACAAGCATCTTTGCTGCGCTGAGCATTTCACTGGCAGTGCAGTGAAATGCTCAGCCAATCACACCGCTGGCGCCGCTGTGCATTGGCTGCCTCACGCGCTATCACGGCTGAATCTCTAAAGTTTACGTCCTTCCACTTAAACTGTACACAGGCTCACCTGTATGGATATTTATCTCAGCCCCCTGTGAGAACTCATGTTTCTTTTGAGAACTCTACATCAAGGTATGAGTCAAGTTTAAAAAATCACCACATTTGCTCTGCTCACACAGCTCAATGTGAACCGCAATTATAGGTGCGCGTTAAGCATGCAGTGACAATAGTATATCTGTGTGAACAAAACATTATGTGTGGCGTGTGTGTTTATGTCTCAACATGCTGCTCAGTGCGTGGCTCTGTGAAAGCACTGATTAAATGTATGTATGCATTTCTTGGTTAGCTGGTGCATTAGTGGACCAGCCTCGTAGTCCCTGGTGGTAGTAACAACCTTTTCAGCATGTCAGTGTTCTTCTTAAGTCTTCTAATGAGCCATCATTTGAAGATGGGTGTGTTAAACCAGGGGGAGAACTAAAGCATGCAAGATGCCGGCCCTCGAGGACCGACTTTGAGCATCATTGCTGTAGTGTCTCATTGACCTCCTTTGACCACTTCCTGGCTGTCCTCATGGTTGCAGGCTGTCTCTTTACCAGATGTATGTAACAAAAACTGAGGTGCACCTCTCCACTCCCTCCACTCGGAGGGAAGAGGAACTGTATGCATCTTTTACGTTAGCATACAGTTAACATAAAAGATGCATTACGTTAACAGAAAGGACTCTGGACCTCTTCTTTCTGGTGGGACAGCTCACATACTGGGTGAAGTTGGGCAGGATTTTGTCCATGGTGACATGATTAAAATCACCCTCGATAACAGTGAATGCAGTCGAATGTTCAGACATCATGGCCTTCGTGGCATTTAGCAGAGGGAGGAATGTAAACAGTCACCTGAATAACATGGGAATGTTCACATTGGCAAGTAAAATGGACATCAACCAACCGCCAACAGTTCAACATCCAGGCAACAGATTTGGTCCTTGAACGTTATATGAGCAGGATTGCACCAACGGTTGTTTAGTTGAACAGCAACCCCCCCTCAATACTGCTTTATGTTCTTGATGCAATCCCTGTAAGCCTGAACAGTCTCATAGCCTTTGATGGAGATATTGGCATCAGGAATGTCGGAGTTCAGCCATGTCTCTGTAAAACACAATAAGCTTCATTCCCGGTACTCCCTCTGGCTCCTGGCCAGTGCTGTTAATTCATCCGTCTTGTTAGCCATCGATCTAATGTTGCCCATGGTAACGGGAGGGGAGAAACAGCTTGTTGCTCCTCTTCTCCATTAGCCTCTGCTGTTTCTTGCTTGTTGCTCTCCTCAGCTGTTTGTTTCCTTTTTTGCAGCCCTGATGTGTCCTTCTCCAGAACTGAACACCATGCCTTCCGGCTTCAGCGCAATTAGCTGATCCCTTGTGTAAACAATGTGGCCAAGTTGTTTTACTTGGCAGAGTAAAAAACATATTTCTGCAGCAAAGAAAAAGATTTAGACTCTCTTAGTCAACAATGTTGAAGATGAGCTTCTAGTAAAGTGCAAAAAGCAATTCATGTTGTAAATAAATAAATAGAAAACATGAAAAAGTAAAAAGACCAGAGGAGTAACCGCAACAGATGCACCAACCTGCATACATGTTGGTGCATGCGCACTCTGAACACTAGTTAGTAATGGTTTGGGAAGCTACATTTAGGTCTGCTGATGTTTGAAGCAGCTGTTTTATATAAAATTGACTAAAAATTATTTCGGTTTGATCTTTGGCTTCAAAACAGCTTAAATATATCATTAGTTACAGTTTTGTTCCTTTTTACTAGTTTCATTCTAATGTCCATTCTTTAATTTGTGCAAAATTGTCTTGGTATGAGAAATAATTTGCCAAGATGGCATAAATCTAAAAGTAATGTGTTGAGTTCTTGTACTGGAGCTTTTAGTGTTGTGATCTGTTTATTAAACTATTTTTAATGTGTTTCTTTGGCTGTCTTGTCATTTTCCCTGCAGGAAAGGAAGTTGTACTGCTGATGCAGGCACTGAATTCTCTTGCCACGCCTGAAGAGAAACTGGCAGCACTGTGCAAAAAATATGCAGATCTGGTAGGAATGTTGGCTTCTGTCTTTTTACACAGGGTTACATAAGACACTAGACCACTGTAGAGTTTTTTTTTAAACTGGCTATTTGTTTGCCACTTTTTTGACAGTATGATTGAAAATTCAAGAAAATAAAATTCCAGAATGTAATTGTTTTTATATGTATCGCAAAAATAATCAGCTGATTTGAGTCTTTATCTTTGTTTAGGCCAGATATAAATTTTTTATAATTTATTGGAGTCCATCAGAACCACATTCTGCCCACAATAGTGAGGAACAGAACATATAATTGAAAATCTCACGACCTAGTGTAAAACCAAACTGCACATTAACTGATGGAAAAGTGCCTATAAGGTTGCAGAACACGTCTAGAAGGATCAGCCCGACGTGTTGAGCCATGATCAGGGTTTTCCCTAGAAAACTTGCTAAGCCTGGAGGTCGGGATGCCAAGGTGATCCACCGGCGGTCCACCGTGTTTTTGTATTAAAGATGTTAAGTTTATGTAAGCAGATAGACGGGAGACGGCGGGTGGCTGAGTAATTGATGCTTATAGTGTAAGTGTAGCTTTACAGACGAACCGCACAATAAATTTAATTCCATCCCGGTCTCAACAAACGGGTGACGGGGCGCATTGTGGCGGTACATAGCTGGTAGATGTGCTTCTGTGTGTGACAAACGAAGGTGTCAAATCCCGTCACTAACATAAACACAATAGCTATAAATGGCTGGACAAGGTGAGAGTTCATCTATTAAATTGACTGAAGATGAATACATTTGAGCCTGCCTCTTTATTATTAAATTCAATATAATTTCAGATCTTTGTATAACTTTTCTTCTGGTTAACTTAGAAAGTGAGCTATTATTGTTACAGGTTAATTTTGTAAACTACAACCAAGTAACTGTTGGAGATGCTCAAATATGAAAAATTGGACTTTTATTGATATCTGATAGTAATACCGGTGTTACGCCAGATTTACCAATATTTTATTTTATAATTTTTTTTTAATCTGATTACTCAATTAATCGTAAGAATAATCGATAATTACTCGATTACTAAAATATTAATTTACAACAGCCCTAATCCAAGTTAAGTCAGCGGCTCTATAAGGCCTCCCAGGGCTTCAGGGGCCCCATAAAT